TCTCTCTCTCTCTCTCTCTCTCTCTCTCTCTCTCTCTCTCTCTCTCTCTCTCTCTCTCTCTCTCTCTCTCTCTCTCTCTCTCATCCTGGCTTCTTCCTCTGGCCGACCCCCTCTGTTCTCTTTCCACATGCCAACCCCTCTCCTCTCTCCTTGTTGCCTTCACCATCTCCTCTCCTCCTCCTCGTTCTCTCATGCCCCCCCTTCTCCCTCTCATCTCTCTCCCCTCTGCTCTCCTCTCTCTCCCCTCTCCTCTACTCTCTCTTGTCTGTCCCTTTCCTCGCGCTTGTTGCCCCCCTCCTCTCTTCTCCTGTTGTCTTTACCATTCCCTCTCCCCTCTCTCCTGTCAATGGCTTCTTCGTCTCATATATCTCCCCTCTCCTCTCCTCTCTTCTGTCTCTGTTGTCCCTCTCCCTCCATCCCTTCCACCAAAAGCACCTTGCAGTGTTCAAAATAATTCAAAAATTTAAAAATTCAAAATTTCAAAATTTCAAAATTTCGAAACAAAAATCAGAATTGGAAAGCCTAAATTTTGTTTTTTTAAGTTTTTATTTTTTTTAAAAATTATTTTAATATTTTCTAATGGCCCAATAAAATGGGTTTTATAAGCCGAACGAATAAACCTTTGGGACATCGCCTGTTACATACTCCAATGAGTATGGGCAGAACCAAGAATCAACCAATATAGGATGAGTATTTATGCAGTGGAAGTCTGATAACGAACTGACTCACATAGACTGACTCACATAGACTGACCTACATGGCATCACTCCACACACATACAATCATGAGATGGTGGGGTCTGGGTCATGCATAGAAGATACCCAGATCCCGTACACACATACACAGATGAAAGGTGGGAGGAGAGACGGAGGTAGGAGGTAGATCACACCGATAGGTCACAAGATAGGGTCCGGTAGGTCTCCGAAGTAGTAGTCCAAAATGTCATACAACAAGATCAAAATGTCGAGGACCAAAGGTCACCAATGTCGGAGATAACCGAGTCCAGATGTAACCGGTGTCCAACTGTGATGCAGCCGAGTATCAACCTCAATGATCTCCAAGTCTCCAATCAGGTAAGTACCACAGTCTCATATCACCGAAGTCCAACTCTGATCTCTGTCCAACTGGATAGTCTCCAATCTGAAGAAGAAGAAGAAGRAGAAGAAGAGGAAGRAGGAGGAGAAGAAGAGGAGAGAGGGAGAGAGAGGGGACTGGCGAGGGAGAGGAGGAGAGATCCTCCAAGCTCCCGGTACCTCAGGCGGCAATGGCCGCCGTGCTGGCTTAGTCGCCCTGCCGCTGCGCTAATCTGCGCTATGCTGCGCTCCTGCTTCAGCCCCTGCGCTAAGTTTAGCGCATCAACAGCGCTCTGGCGCTGACCATACCGTACCGGTATAGTGCCGGTAGKTCGATGCCTCTACTGAGGCAGGTACCGGTACTTATACCGGTAGGCCATGGTCTGGCCTCAATGCTGCGAGGCCARGCCAGACCCTGGACCGTCCAGATGGACGGTTCAGCCTCCATCGGCGGGTGGCAGCCTCAAGAGCGCCGCCAGGCCCAAACAAAGTGTCGTTTGGGCCTACCCACTGGGCTGAGTGCAAAAATCAGGCCTTTAGGGCTTGTGACCCTCAAGGTCGGGCCTTTAGGCCCTGGTGTGTCCCTTCGGCCCTAAGTCGGGTCCGGTAGGACCCGTGTGACTCGAAGATGTAACACAGGTTCACGGCACACAGGGTCGACTTGATACTGTACACAGGTAAGGTAAGGTAAGGTCTGGGGATCGAGCCCTGGGATCCGCATCTGTGACTGCAAAAGGTGAAAACCGTTTCACCTTTTACTATGCCCTTGTGTGTTGCCCGGGCGCACAGGTTTTC